CGAAAATGAAGTCAGCAGGATTAGTCTTTAGAGATACCATTTTAATAGCTGCAATGTGTTGTTGATAAATTAACAAATCTGATTGAGGAGGAATATATGAACAAGTAATAAAAACTTTAATTGAGTTCACTTTTATAACCACTGCTATAAACTCAATGTTATAGGGTAAATCAAGTTTTATTTCATCGGCCGAAAATTTGTTGGAAATAGCTATTAAAACACCACAGCGGTTGTTAACGTTATTCTATCACGGCGAAAAACATGAAAATTGTTGCATATTATTTCCGTGTTTGAAAAGGTATTATTAAGCCAGGCCTCAGTAACACAGAACACATGATGATTGAATCCAAATCTATCTTGATATAGTTTAGATGATTTCGTTTTCAATCCACGTACATATATGAAATAGGTTATCGGTGATATTACAGTGCACTCGCGGTAACGTGAACACCGTCTAACGTGAACACCGCCTAACGTGAACAAGATGTTTTTTACATTGACTACTCTGTAACGTGAACAAACACAGAAAGCTCTATAACGTGAACAATTTTTTTCACAATATATGTTTTCTAAGCATGTAGACAACATTGAAATACATTTATTAAATTCGAATTTTAAAATTTTGGGAATCTCCTTATATAAATGAATGTATATCCCCTAAATTATTTTGTTTATATGGCAAAGAAATTTGAAGTTATGAGTGTAAAAAAATCTAAATGTTTGCAGTTAAAAGAAAAGGCAGACATTTTAGATAGTTTGCAAAGAGGAACAAGTGTGACTAGTTTATCAAAAAAGTATAATGTCGCTAAGTCAACAATATGCAGTATTAAAAAGAAACAAGTAAGAAGTTATAGTCGGGCGACGCCGACCATATATTACCCTACACCTGTATACGAATAAAATGTGATGTGGTTTTCATAATAAAGCATTTAAGTTGAATTGTACCTTGCCTCAGATATACTAAAGCCATTTACAGTTTAATAAAACTGTGGATATTTCAGTAAAATTTTGATGGGGCTTTTTAGAGGGGCTAAGGGTCAAATGAGGCCCTATAATTAAAAATTTTATCAGGGTCATCAAGACTAGTATAGAACTTGGTTTTGCAGCTTTTTGTCGAGATACGAGTATATTAAGCATAATTATGAACTTAAAAGCCCTATTTGGCGGGTTCAATTCTATGGGTCCTAGGTGAAATAATGGACCGATGTTAACCATTTTCAATAGGCTTTGTCTACAGTACCATATGTGCCAAATTTCATTGAATTATCTCCAAAATTTCGACCTGTAGTTTGATTACAATGTTTACAACCCTTTTTGGGGGGTACAGTTGTATGGGGGCTAGGTGAAATAATGGACCGATCTTAACCATTTTCAATAGGGTTTGTCCCTGGGACAATAGAAGATCATGTACCAAATTTCATTCAATTATCTTCAAAATTGCGGCCTGTAGTTTTTATTACAAGGTTTACATGGACGGACGGACAGACGGACATAGCTAAACCGACTCAGAAAATGATTCTAAGCCGATTGGTATACTTTAAGGTGGGTATAGGACCAATATTATTGTGCGTTACAAACATCAGCACAAACACAATATACCCTCCCCACTAAAGTGGTGTAGGGTATAAAAAGAAGCAATTTTGCGTTGTGCAAACAACACATACCAAGGACCGGGAAAAAGACAAACTTTAAAATCATCAGAACTTCCAGTTAATGAAAAAACTCTTTACCGTTGGTTCCTCCGAATGCGTGATAGGAATTGGCCTGTAAGTGGTCTAATGTTAAAAGATAATGGATTTTAATAAAATTTTAGTTTTATATTATAATAATATAAATAATAATAAAAGAATATCACGCTCAAGTGTGTAAAATACAGATTTATAAATTAAAATTTCATATTTTTTTCATGAAATTTGACAATCGCTAACGTGAACAATTTCGCTAACATGAACTCCCTTGGTTTTAATTAGTTCACGTTACCGCGAGTGCACTGTATTTAGTTTTTTTTTATTGTTTGGCGAAGTGGGAGAAGTGCAATATTATTTGGTCGTTGGTTAACTTTATATTCATATTCACGAACAAGAACGTGATTTGGCCAGAATGATGGTTGAATCATGCAGTCGAACATTTCATACGGAACTGTTATTTTGAATGATCCCAGCAAAATCTTTGCTTACAATGATTACCATTAAGTACTTCATTAATGACTTACTTTGTAGGTAAAGTCTAAAAAAAATCAAAATAAAGAAACAAACAAAAATAAAACAGTTACTTTCTGTTTTTTCCTTTTTTTGTGCACACGATATCAAATGTCTATTTTTAGACAAACAGAAAATAAAATAGTATTTGTGTGTGAAAACTATTATTTGATGCACAATAAAACAACAAAGCAGTGGTGTAGTAAGAGTAGCATTCAACTGGTAGACGGAAGGTACTGAGTTCAACCCCAGTCTGTGTCGACTTTTTATTTTTATCTTTTCATAAATATTCTATAAATAACTCTACTAAAAAACAACTTATTTCCAACCAAATAATATTGACTTACTTTTGGAACATCTCAAACAAAAATAAGTACTTTTTCTAGTAGAATTGTAAGCACTTTACTCGATGAGTTCTGGTGATTTTTCTAGTGAATTTGTAAGCAAATATTTTGCTGGGATGTTATACTCCTTAGTTGCATTGATATCAACGTCTTGGCTAAGCTTTGATTTTATGTTGTAGTTTATGTCTTCGGCAGAAGTATCAAACGCGAAATGGGATAAGATAATTTGTTTTTAGGAGGAATAACTCGTAATTCTTTATGAACATTAGAATTTATTCCATTATTTATAACGACTTCAGCATAATTTAAATTATGCTGATTTACTGTTGGATTCTTCAGAAATGGCAGGTGCAGGTCCTGCACTGCAGGATTCAGATGTATAGATGTGACAGCATTATTTGGAGGGGCATCATTTACGGGAGCATTATTAACAGTGCCAGGGATTTGAGGTATTATGGAGTTGGAATTATTTAAAGTATTACAATTAGCAACAGGGGGTACAGAAAATGTAAAAAAGGTAAATAGGTAAAAGGTGAAGCAGCGAAAGGAGTAGCAGTAGAAGTTGTTGCTGTAGCTGTGGCTGTAGCAGTTGAGTTTGTAGCTGCACCATTATATTCAGTTGAAGGGATATACTGTTTATCCCTGGGTTTCCTTGATGATTTACGTCTATTCGGGGAGGATTGAGGCGGGGATTTTAATGCATCCAAAGATTTAAAGTCTTCAAAGAGTTTACCATATATAGAGATTCGATCAGAAAGTTCAGTAGCTTCGTCTTGAATTTCCATAAAACGGGTTTTAGTTCCTTAAAAAAACGGTACAGGCAGTACAGCACCAGTGAAGTTCGTTATGCTTTAAAAGTGATTCAGCAACAAGAACAGGTAAACCGCTACATTTAAAATGACAGAGGCCATGACATAGCCAGCAAGTTATCATCATCATTAGTAATGGCACAGTTTTTGTTGAGACAATTCATTATCATAATGTTGATGAAATGTTTTGTTGGGTTATTAAAATTTTGTTCAATAAAAATACAATAAATGGCGGTAACAAAATGACTTAGTGGTGACACAATATTGGTTGTATTTAATCGTAAGTCAATGTTATTATAAGCAGATGTTCCACGGTTGTAAAAAATATTAATATGTTATTTATAATTATATCAAACTTAATTATACTGATTTTTGGAAAGATAGTAGATAGTCCGGTTGTATAGGGGCTAGGGCAAAAATTGGTCCGATCCTTATAAAATTTAATGTCGGGATTTATTTTTATTTAAAACTTATTTGTGCCTAATTTCATCGTGGTACTAGTATTTATAAGTGAATTTTGGTCATTCAACTCATTTTCTGAAGGGGACTTTGTATGGGGGTTACGGTCATGACGAAAATTGACAGTGTTATTTATAATTATATTAAACCTAGTTGTGCCAATTTTTGGAAAGATAGTAGTATATTTGCCGTAGTTATGAGCTAAAAGGCGCAAATCGGTAGGTCCGGCTGTATGGCGGCTAGGGTAAAAATTGGTCCGATCCTTATAAAATTTAATGGCGAAATTTATATTTATATAAAATCTATTTGTGCCAACTTTCATCGATAATTATGAAACTCGACAGTGTTATTTATAATTATATCAAACTTAGTTGTGCCGAGTTTTGGAGAGATAGTAGTATATTTGACAAAGTTGTGAGCTAAAAGTCCCAAATCGGAAGGTCCGGTTATAGGGGGGCTAGGGCAAAACTTGGGCCGATCCTTATAAAATTTATTGTCAGGATTTATGTTTATATAAAACTTATTTGTGTCAAATTTCATCGTGATACTAGTGTTTATAAGAGAATTGCGGACATTCAAGTCATTTTCTGAAGGGGACTTTGTATGGGGGCTAGGGTCAAATAATGCCCGAGCCTTACGAAAATCACTGGAATTATTAAGACGTATATAAAACTAAATTTTGCCAATTTTTGTAGAGATAGTAGATCATTTAACATAATTATGAGGTCAAAAGCCCTATTCGGAGGGTCCGGTTGTATTTTTTCAATAGCGTTCGTCCATGGACCAAAAGAAGTGCACGTTCAAAATTTCATCAAATTATTTCAAAAATTGCGACCTGTAGAGTGCGCACAAAGTTTACATGGACACACAGACAGACGGACGGACATAGCTTAATCGACTCAGGTAGTTCTGAGCCGATTGGTATACTTTAAGGTGGGTGTAGGACCAATATTTCTGGGTGTTACAAACATCAGCACATACGCATACATACATACATGCATACATACACACATACATACATACATACATACATACATACATACATACATACATACATACATACATACATAAATAAATACATACAAACATACATACATAAATACATACAAACATACTTTAATTTTTATATATAGATACCAACCATAATTATATGAGAAAGTCGCCTTATAATGGGAAATAAAAACGTTTCGTTGCGGTTATAGACACAGCATTATGTGATTTATTAACAATATAAATTAATCTAAAAATAACATTTTATTGATACTGTTCATGTTTAGATGTTGTGCCAAATCCAAATTTTGAGGTTTCATCTAAGACACTTGGATCTTCATTTGGGGGCAAAGGATTGCGAAATTGTTCCGAAGAAAGTCTCGTAAATAAAATTCCAACTCCTTCAATCAAAGCCAATAAAACGCCGCCAATAATAGCACTTCCAGCCATAGCGGGAATACCTAAAAATAAAATTATGCATGAATTGATTTAATTTCCACAACAGTATTTTTGAAAATTAATTGTGAAGGAATAGATATTTCTAAAAGTATAGTGAATACAACTGAAAATCGGACATACACTATCGGACAAAATAAAGCATAAAAGTACATGCTATATCATTTCAGCGAAAAATGAAAATAAATGATTATTAAATATGGAAAATTATTTTTAATTCATTTAGTTAATATACAATACTACAAAAATAACAATAAACAAGTTAGAGTGCTTATTCGGCTATGCCGAATCTTAAATACCCTCCACCTCCACCATATCTTTATTCCTTAATGAAATAGGTCTGTTTACGTGGTTATCGGAAGTGGGCCTTATATTGGAGCTATGCCCAATCATTGAAAAGTTTATTTAAGAGTGATTTATGTATACACAAAACATATTCTTGTTGAATATTATTCCAATATTTTTTTTTTAATTACTTATGTGCAATTAAATAAAATATGTCTTTTGGTATTGTATAAACATAAAATGAAACATGTAGTGTCCTACACTAAGAGAAAATTCGTGCATTTAACTAATGATCAGATGTTCTTCATCGAATAAATGAAGTATTTTATTTGTATAATGAGCACAATGAAATCTTTCATTATACATTTTTTTTCGAAATCTTCATAATTCACTGTTCATATGAAATTGATATCATTAAAATTACCAAGTTCAAATTATTGCAAATTTTGAGAAAAAAAAGTATCACAAATAAATTTGTTTATACATAATAGCAATTAGCTTTCTTTACGCGTATAATTAAATATATTTTTATTAATATAAAAAAAAACAATTTGCATACATATTAATAAAACATTGAGTATTTATAATTAAATAAAATTTAATAATTAAAAAAATCTGCAAATGTAAAATTAAAGTGAATATAATAGTTGAATATTGTTTTCCAAAGGCAAATTGAAAGTGTTCCAAACTGATCAACCATCTTCTAGTAAAGTTCTGTATGCCAACCAAAAATTCGGTAATACTACTTAAGTTACAAACTGATAACTTATAATATATGTATGTCTATTTTTCCCTACAGCTCCTGATCTTTTTAAAATTTCCAAAAAATTAATGAAACTGCATTCCAGAATACAATGAATTATCTTCATTTATATTTTTTTAATTTTTCCTCTTTGCCCTTTATTCTTATGCACCCCTTGTTCTCATTTTTTATATTTTTTGCGAGTTTTAAATGTCCATGAACATTATTCACACATGCAATGAAAATTTTTCATAGATGCAGTGAAACAATCTTCGTTATAGAAATGTAAACACTATATTTGTTTTTGTAGACGCACACCTACATATTAATAGTTGTTATACCACTTTTTTAATTTTTGCTGACCACAAATAACTGTAAATTTAAAGTGCAAAGAGAGACAAGAAAAATCAATCACCAATTTTATTTGTATTGTAACTTCAGTGAATTAAAGTGCATGTGTTTCTAGTTAAAAAATATATCCATATTTTAAAAATAAAAAAAAAAAAAAAACAATTTGCATACATATTAATAAAACATTGAGTATTTATAATTAAATAAAATTTAATAATTAAAAAAATCTGCAAATGTAAAATTAAAGTGAATATAATAGTTGAATATTGTTTTCCAAAGGCGTATCATAATAATAAAGGCAAATTGAAAGTGTTCCAAACTGATCAACAATCTTCTAGTAAAGTTCTGTATGCCAACCAAAAATTCGGTAATACTACTTAAGTTACAAACTGATGACTTATAATATATGTATGTCTATTTTTCCCTACAGCTCCTGAAGACAACGCTGGAATTTGTTTACAAAGTTTAAAATACGATAACCTTTGTGTCGAAAATTTTAAGGCAACATAGTCTGCTTGTGTAAAATTTCATATAAACCAAATACATTCTGTACCTCGTTTCTGTAATTTTCTCGAATCGAGAGAAAACTTAAAATATAATAGTCTTCCAGTTTTTAACAGTGTGACTCAGAATATTTTTAAAATGTACTCATTAAAATCTAATAAGAAATTTTTAAATTTCTTGTATTCACCCTGTTTTACACAAGATGATCATAAATTTTTGGACAGATTTTCTCGATGCGAGAATTACAGAAACGGGGCACTGAATGCAAAAATATTAAGGAAGCTGCTACACAATGGCCACAGTACAGAGGATCGATTGATTCACAATTGGTAAGTATCTACAGTCCAAAAATATACTTACATACATATATGAGAACTTAAATATATATACATTAGACCGAGTCACAAAAAATGGTGCTTAAGTTACCCCCCTCAAAATATTCCCTGTTATGTAATCTGATGTTACCCAAAATATTTTCGGTTAAGTGCTGTCCATTCATGAGCTGGACAGTTTTCAAGAAAATATCGAATGGGGGACACGATTTTTCATGTTAAATTCATTATTTTACCCAGCTTCAAATAATCTTTGTTATGTTTTATAATGGATCCCAAAATTTTTCTAGTCTATCGATGACCGTTCGTGAGGTGGACCGTTTACAAAAAAGTCTCGTTTTAGTTTTTTTTTTTTAATTTTACAGTATTTCTTAAACAAAATATACAATATGTGGTATCATTTGAAAGGTTTTTTGAAGCTATGTCTAGTGGTGCGCAAAATTTGAAAAATTGTGCATATTTTTTTATTAGTGAAAAACCTAACAATTTTAAATATTTTGGAATATGACAATTATGAGCAGACGGTTATTTATGATTAATACATCATTGGACGCGGCTTTAAAGCCCCTTTTAAACGATACCCCATATTAGATATTTTGTTTCAAAACAAAAATTAAAAAAAAAAATTATTTGGTCCAGCTCAGGAACGGTTATTGTTTGACTTAAAATATTTTGGGAATCGTCATAAAACAAAGCAAGTTAAATTTTGAGAGGGATAACCAAAAACACGTTTTTGCTTTCCATACAGAGTGAGTCGGTCTAATATACATATATTCTTAAATATTATCCCCCTTATTCATAAACAACATTTTATTTTATAAAAGGCTCATAAAACAAAATTTCCATACGAAATTTGATTTATAAATCGTTTATAAAATGAAATTGCGTTTATGAATAAGGTGGTTTATATTTAAAATATTTTTATAACTTTATTTATTTTGTATACTGATTTACTTATTTATGCATTTATTATTTAATTTAATTACTTATTTATTTATTTACAGATTGATTTGGATTTTAAAATCATACAACGATACTACACAACGATCACAGAATGTGATCCCCAGCAATTCAATTATTTTCTTGGAATATTTTAATAATATTTTCTATTTATTTATTTGTAAGTGTGTATGTATGTAATTGTCTATTTTATTATTAAATTTAATATTTTTATGTACAGAAATACGTAAAATAAAATATCATAATATTATGATATAGTTTCATTAAATGTGAGAAAATTAGTCATTCATAATCATTTTACTAATGCAACTAAGTTGTTCAGTTCAGAGATTAAAATTACTAATATATTATTAACCAAAATGCACATTTTCTCATATTCATACGTATGTAATATTAAAATGTAAACATATTTTATCCAAATAATATATTTAATTGCTTCCATTTAAAATATTTGTAGTATTTTTGCGAAAAATATTTACCCATACAAGCTATTGCATATTGCTTACAGACAAATATAACATTTTTTCATAAGCAATATATTTCGCAGCAACTTGCTAACATATTTAAAATACCCACATATATTTTATATTGCTTGCCTATAATATCAAAATATTTTCCTATACAAATTATTCGTAGAAAAAAATATTCATGCCATGTCGGCAAAAATGTACGAACTTGAAATTTGCACAAGCAGATCATATATGTGACGACGAAGCTACTAAATAAAACCATAGTCGCGACTATGAGGTTGTAATATTTTTACTACAAATTTTAAATATTATTAAATATAGGAAATTATTTATGGTCTAAAATTTTACATTTTATGTTGGAATTGAAAGATTATAAAATGTGAGGAATGTATGCAAATAACCAAATATTAATTAGAAAATTATTGAAAACGTATGTAGCTATGTTTGTATAAATGTTTAATGTACATATGTATATTAAATTAATGTTTAATTTGTATGTGGAGTATTAAAATCTATTTATTTGTATTGATTGTAAAAGTTAATATAATAACAAATCTATTTATTTGTATTGATTGTAAAAGTTAATATAATTAGAAAAATTTATATAATTATAAAATATATGTGAAGATGCAAAAAATACAATTAATTTTTTACATGAAATGAATAATAAGTCAAACAGAGTTACAACAGATTTTCTCTCCAAAAACGTGACCTGATCGCGGTAGGAGCATACTTCGTATATTTTGATATTATGTGATAAATGTTGCTATTAGGTAAATATTTTACATATTATTGTTAAAGAATCATAATGTACATAGATTTAGTATTTCAAAAAGATGTAAAAAAGAAAAATTGGTTGAAAAATGTGAATGTTATTAAAAATTCGCCGGGCCATTAACGTGTCTCAGTTAACTTGATTAGGAAATGTGGAAAAAATTTTAACTTATTTTGGAAAATATTCTAATAAATCTATTTTATTGTATAAAATATATCTATATTTACTCGAATGGAAGCTTTTGTCCTTAAAAGATATCGGGAACCTTTTCTTAGCTATGATCAAAAAAATAATTTTTTACACGGCAGTTTCAAAACTCCATTTTCAGTTTTTTTTAAAATCTTTGTTAAACAAATTTTAAAATTTTTGAAATATCACCAGGGTATTTATGGTCAATAGATTAGGGAATAAAACAGTGAAAAAATTAGGTCAATACCTATTATATTTAAGCTTTACCTGCGATTTGAATTCTACGATTTTCGCGAAAAACTAATTTTTTTGTAATATTTTGGAAAATATGTCCTAATTTTTTACTGTTATACATTTTAAACAAAATATTTACGGAATATTATCTCTCAGATAATAT